TCTTTGGAGATCAGAGGAAAGGCAGGCTGCTTCTCAGCAGAGTTTGTTTCCCTTGACTTCAAAGGTCAAGGTGCTTATCAGCTCAGTTCCCTTTTTTGGGCTCCAAAGTCTGTAGGTCCCTGTTGGGGAGGGGGGAAGCTGCTGCTGTTTGGAACCCTAACAGATTGTAGCTTTTTTTCTTTCAACATTATTTTTATTAACATGTAATGATTATTACAGTAATGCATTTCATTATGACATTTTTATATATGTATATATTGTATTTACCCTATTACCTTCTAGTTTCCTCCTCTCACTCCTGCTACTCCTGTTAACCCATGCTCTTCCCAACTAGTAACCCTTGCACTTGCTTTTTTTTTTTTGGTGAACCCCTGAGTTTAGACAAGGGTGGGTCCTCATGATGAACCCTGTGTCTTTTGTTTCATTGGTAAAAGGTTTATGATCTTAAAAACCTAGAATGACAAAAAGAACAACAACAACAACAACAAAACCCAAAGAAGCCAGGTGTGGTGGCCACACCTTTAATCCCAGCAGAGGCAGGCAGATCTCTGTGAGTTCAAGGCCAGCCTTGTCTACATAGTGAGTTCCAGGACAGCTGGAGCTACAGGGAGACCTCCTGCCTCAAAAAAAAAAAAACAACAACAAACAAACCTAGAATTTATCTTTGATACTAGTAGGCATTACATGCAGAGTTGGTGACTTAGTTTCAATTATATTAACTTACTTTTTTTGAGATAGGGTCTTATTCTGCAGCCCAAGCTGGCCTTGAACTTGTGGCAGTCCTGCCTCCAATTTCTAAGTGGTGAGAGGATTACAGGCATTAACCATACTCATACTTATCAAGAAGCCATGAGAACAAATTATTGTACAGTATCTCTAAATAGCATCTAGTAATTGCATGGTGCTTGTTCAAATATCAAACTTCTCAGTTTTCCTTTCTGAAATTGGTGTGTTTCAAGAATATATGAGCAACATTGCAAACATGAAATGTAATATTTAGGTTGCCAAATTTATATTTAAGCTTTATTATAAATATTTGAAATTCAACTTTTAAATCTAAAATTGCAGTTTTTTGTTAGATGTTGAGACTGAGGATAAATGACCTACCTCTAGGTTATATATCCTGGCTACTCTTCATTCCCTGTTTATACTATAGTTTGAAAGAGTGTAGACATTTTTGGATGATTCCTAGACACTTTTTTAAAAAAATTATTATTTTTATTTTATGTGTATGCATGTATTGCCTGCATGTAGGTAAGTGCACCTGTGTCGTGCAATGCCCATCGAGGTCAGTAGAGGCTGTCAGATACCCTAGGACTGGAGTTACAGACAATTGTTAGCTGCCATGTGGTGCTGGGATTTGAACCTGGGTCTTCTGCAAGAACAACCAGTGCTCTTAACTGCTAAGCTACCTCTCCAGCCCCTCCTAGACGCTCTTAAAAAGGAATTTCCATGTTCTTATTTTTTAAAAAACCTATAGATTATTTTACTTTGTCACATAATGGTAGTCTGGCATCTTTAAAAAAATTTTTTTTGCATTTATTTATTGGGTATGTGTATGTATACCGTGGCACACATGTTGAGGTCAGACGACAACTTATGCTGGTCAAGTCTTTCCTTTCACTCAGTAGATTCTATAGATTGAACTCAGGTCATCAAGCTTGGCAGCTAGTGCCTTTACCTGCTGAGCCATCTTGCTGGCTTTAGTTTGGCATCTTAAACGAAAGGCATCCATTCTACAGCATTATTACACCAACATTATGATCACCTGAACTAATAGACTGACTCTTAAATTTAGTTTTTTAAAAT